CATAACTGAGGAAATTACAACTATCTAGTTTTCAACCACATCAAAGACCTGATGTTCAGCATCCTAGGACCTTGAGTCATACACAATAGTTCATGAAAGGAGCCATAACCCTCAAAAATCTTGCATTCAAGATCTAGGCACAGACCTCCTAGGACTCTAAAGGAATCATTTTAGAAACTGATAGAAGAAGGTGTGTGGAATAGGCTGTAACCTTTGCAAGACAAATTTATGAAGAATGGAGATTTATTCTATCTCATGGTTCTGGAGCCTGGGAAAACCAAGAGCATGGGACTCATATCTGCTTGGCTTTTTGTAAGAGTACTGAATCACAATCTGGTAGAAAGGAAGAAGGGGCAGTGAGTGCATATGAAAAGAAAAAAGTTGAAGAACTGTGTCATGACAAAAGCAAGTGTTATGATAACTAAGTCATTCCGAGGTAGCCAAGGACAGGCAGCCTAGCTCTACTTGGCTTGAACTATGCCCACACTCCTCTCATAATGATACACTTGTCAACCTAGGACACCCACCTGCACATTCCTCTCCTAACAATGCACAACCCAGGCCCCAACGTGCATTGAGCAGCATGTACACCCCACTTCAAACACTGAAGTGGGTGTGTTCCTCCTTGGCAACACTATGGTGGCACCCCATTTCCATTCAGGCACATCCTGGAATATATCTGGGAACTATGGCAGTGGTCCAATCCATCTTGGATTGGTTTATGTGCATGCACCTAAAAGTAAATTGTTAAACTATGTACTTTGAATGAGCTCTTAGAAGAAAAAAAGACTTATTTACCATCTTATGCCTATGCACAATTTGCACAACTGGGTGTACATGTGATTAAAATCAGATGCATTGTTGGAAAGGACCTGTAGAGAAAAGCTTACACAATCCAAGCCAATTAATCAACACAGAAAACCCTTCCCATCTCATGGGCACCATTTGGCAGACCTGCTCCTTCCCAACCAACAGACCTTCCTCTGCCTCTGGGATTTTCTCCCCCCTTGTTCCCCTGGGGTCCTCTCATACCCTCACCAAAGTCCAGCTTGGCTCTTCTGGACTTCCCTTCCCTATACAACCAGGTAAATCAGATCCTTCTCATCCATCCCTCAGGTCTCTCCAGCTCCTCAGGAACTTCACCTCCCTGTGTCACCAGGTAGGCCCTATTCCTCCCCATCACATAGCATCCCCACACTCATCTGACACCTTTCTCTCCTCCCATCAACTTGACTCTGCCACACCCCACCCTGAAGGCAGTCCATATCCTCTGTGATGTAGCATCTCTGACACTGGGTAATAGTGCCGACCCTACAGGCCTTCTGTCTCCTACAGACCTTACCTCCAAGTGTTGCCAGACCACCCAGCACCTCTGGGATCTCCCATTCCCACTCCTCAGACTAGGTCCATTCTTTCCACCCTATAAGTTACCTGCTACTCCAGAACCTTACTTCTCAGTGTTTCCATGGAGGCCCCACCCCAACCCCATAGAACTACATACTCAGATTTCTAAGCATTTCTGCCCCTAACCAAGAGTGGACCAGAGCTTATTTAATGAAGAGAGACCAGATTTGGAGAGCTACATAATAAGGCAGTAGAAGAGAAGACAACCAAGGAGTGTGCTGACCCATGGACAGTGTTGTCCACAGGAGCTTATTGGACTTTCAAAAGAAGACTAAGGATAGAACCTGTGGCATTTAATACAAAGTCCACAAAAGAAAACATCTCAACCCTCTTACAAACCACTGCTCTCCTGAACACTGAACACACCTACACAGAAGGGAGGTGATTGGAGCAAGGCCAGACCAAACTAACAAACTATTCCAGATAATCGAGTGATAACACAGAAAAAATAAATAACACACACAAAACAAGAGACCAATCCACCCACCACATTAGAAATCCTATAGTAATGAACCTCGAAGATTTTCCAGTCAAAGAATTCGAAAGATGATTATAATATGTTAAAATAATTCAAAGAGGACACGATTATATTCCAGAGACACAAGAGAAAGAGCTGAATAAGACACAAAAGTCATTCTGAGACATGTAAATAGAATTCAATAAAGAGGTATAGTTGCTGAAGAAAAGCCAAATTGAAATGCTAGGAAAAAAAAAAAAAAACTCAGTAAGCCAAAAACAAAACCAAAAAGAACAAGAACTAGTGAAAAGCCTTAGCAACAGAATGGATCACATGGAAAACCAAGTGAGAGCTGGAAGACAAAGTCAAGGAACTGGATCACCCAGTAAAGGTCAACAAGAAAAAATTAAAAATATGAACAGAACAACAAGAGAGCTTTCTAGTTATGGCCATGGAAGAAGGAGGATCCCATAGCAATGGCATAGAGAATAAAATCATAGAAGAAAATTTCCCAAAGCTAGAGAAAGAGTACAAGAGGCCTGGAGAACAACAAACAGATAGAACCCCCCCCCCCCAAAAAAAAAAAATTCTCCGCAATGTGCTATAGTTATAAAAACAGAGAATGAACAAAGGATGCTGAAAAGTAGCAAGAGAGACAGGCCAAGGCAGGCCCATCAGATGGGTCCTTGACGATTTGAGAAAAGATTCTAAAGCCAGAGGGCCTGAAAAGATGTATTTCAAATTCTGAAAGCTCACACTGCTCAACCCAAAGTTATCATTCCAAGCAAAAATTTCTTTTAAAATTGAAAGAAATTTCCACAATAACGCAGATTCAAGGAATTAATCATCACCAAGAGAGCTCTCCAGAGGATACTGGAAGGAATAATTCAGCTTGAAGAGAAGGATAAAAATACCAAAGAGTTCATAGGAAATAAGTTAACTCCACAAAATCAACAAAATGACAGGAATTAATGCAGTTTAAATAAAACTGAATATTAATAGACTCAATTGCCCAATAGAAAGGCACAGACTAGTTTATTGGGTCAGAAAACAGGATTACCATCATGATAGCCATCACCTTAGGATGGAAGAGGGTATACCAAGAAAATGGGACCAAGAAACAAAGAGGTATAGTAAGTAATTCTAGTATTTGACAAAATATACTTCAAACCAACTCTTTTCAGAAGAGATAAGGAAGGTCACTTCAACTTCACAATTTACAAAAATGATACTACAGTTCTAAATGTATACACACCAAACACAGCACACCCAACTTTACAAAATACACACTGCTAGATATAAAACCACAGATTAACCACAACAGTGATTGCAGGTGTTTTCAATACCCTGTTCTGACCAGTTGACAGGTCATCTGGAAACAAAGAAAACAGAAACAGTGGAGTTAAATGACATAAATCAAATGGACCGAACAACCAACACTGAAGAACACATATTCTTCCCAACAGCCCGTGGAACTGTCTTCAACACTGACCACATATTAGGACACAAAGCAAACCTCAGCAAATATAGGAAAGTTGAAATAATGTCCTGCATTGTTTTTTTTAAAGGTGAACATATCTACTTTATTCTTCAAGATAAAAGTTACTCCAAGTACAGTAGATCAATTACTTTGATCATATTTTTCAGAAAACTACTAGCTTCCACAAATCAAACCCATTTTTTTCCTGCTTAATACAAAAAAAAAAGCTGTCTCTTAAGATTATAAACCTACAGATGCTGACTTTCTCACCAAATGTTACATTGTTAGCATTTCATTTTTTTCTTCAAAGGAGCATCTAAAGTAATATCTGATTTTTAGTAACATTTTCAAATTGTTTTGGTTTTGTTTTTGTTTTGCTTAGGTTTTTGGAAACAGGGTTTCTCTCTGTAGCCCTGGCTGTCCTAGAACTCACCCTGAAGACCAGGCTGGCCTTGAACTCAAGCCTCAGCCTCCTAAGGGCTGGAATTAATGGTGTACACCATCACTGCCAGGCTTGGGGTTTTTTGTTTGTTTGTTTGTTTGGTTGTTTTTTTTTTTTAAGCGATCAACCATTTAAGATTTTAGGACAAAACTGTGAAGACTACATTTTCAATGTTAGGGACTCACTACATATTCAATATCAGGGAAATCTCAAAAATTTAGTGAAATTAGGATTTGGACCCAAGTGCAACGTTTATGCCACAAAGTTCCTTATATATTCTATTTTTATAGTAAATATATTAATCTGTAATGCTCTACAAATACATGCCATAAATTTATTTTGATTTAATCACATCCCATAAACTGGATTTAGGGGTATTTTAAAGTGTTGAGAGTTTATTTTTGTAATCCAACAACTTTATCCAAAAATGCAGAAAATTTTTCTGGCTGGCCAGGAGGATAACATTTCAGTGTTGATAAATCCATTGACTGTAACAGCCCAGGAAGCGTGCTCCAGGTGCAATAGAAGAGATGTCCTTCTTTGTGCAACTGCTTTGCCAACTCCAATTGATGATTGTTCATTAACTTTTCATTTACAACTACCACAAGTGGCTTGCCTTTTCCCAAACTCTCCAAACAGCTTCCTGCACCTGCGTGGCTGATGGTCTGCTTGCAAGAAGGTCTTCTTTCAAAGAATCCTTATACCCGAAGGCTGTCTTTGGCGGCCACACACACAATGAGGTCGTTGAAGCTGGTGGTCCCCACAGTCACAAACGCCAATGTCCTGCATTCTATCTGGCCACAAGAGAATAAAGCTGGGTATCACAACAATAATAACTACAGAAAGTATACAAACTTGTGGAAGCTGAACTACTGAGCGCTACTGAATGGGCCGAGGGAGAAATAATAAGAAAATTAAAATTCCTAGAACTGAATGAAAATGAAAACACAACAAACCAAAATCTACATGACACAGGTAGTCTGAAGAGGAAGTATGTTGCAGTCAGTAAAGCTGGAAGAGTGGACCCATCTTTGACATCAGACAGAAGAACAGAATTTGGAGTTTGCCCTTTTAGGCTTAAAGTTTTGCTTTGGTTCAGTATGCACTCGATATGCCCCCAATTCCTCACCTTGAAATGGTAATGTATATTCTGTGCCATTGCACATTGGAAATATTTTTTAATGTAATTTGCCTTTTGATTTTACAAGGGGGTATAATTAAGAGATTGCCTTGAGTTTCAGAGGAGATTTTGGGCTTTGGACATCAGACTTGAAACTGTGTTGAGACTGTGAATGACTATTGGGGACTTTTGAAGCTGAGCTAAATGCATTTTGCATTATGGTATGACCAGGAGCCTGTGGAGACTATTGAATGGAATTTGGTGATTTGAGTGACATCAGCCCCCATAAAATCATATATGAATGCTTGGTCCTGGTTAGTGGAACTATTTGAGAAGGATTATGAGGTATGGCCTTGTTGGAAGAGTGTCACTAGGTATCTTAGGGTTTCTATTGCTGTGAAGAGACACCACGACCATGGTAACTCTTGAAAACATTTAATTGTGGTGACAGCTTCAGAGTTTCAGTCCATTATCATCATGGCAGGGAGCATGGTGTGCAGGCAGACGTGGTCCTGGAGAAGTAGCTGAGAGTCCTACATCTTGTAGGCAACAGGGAGTCATCTCAGTATCACACTTCCTTCAACAAGGCCATATCTACTCCAACAAAGCCACACTTCTCTATGAGCTTATGGGGGCAATTCTATTCAAACTACCACACTGGGCTTCGTCTTTGAGGTTGCAAAAGTCCACACCATTCCCAGTAAGCTCTTTCTTTCTCTCTCTCCAACTTTCAGAGAAGGATGTAAGCCCTCAGCTGCTCCTCTAGCACCATGGATGCCTGCTTGCTGCCATGGTCCCTGCCACAGTGTTCATGGACTCACCTTCTGAAACTGTAAGCCCCAATAAACCCTTTCTTCTATAAGTTGCCTTGGTCATGGTGTCTCCTTACAGCATAAAAAAGCAACTTAGACAGGAAGGAACATTTCCAAATTCTTTTTTGAAGACATTATTACTTTGATACCAAAATCAGACAAATAACTTACAAAAAAGAAATTATAGGTCAATCTCACTGATGATCCTAAGTGTAAATATTCTCAATAAAATACTTGCAAATGGAATTCAAGAACATACCAAAAGTGTCATGTATCACAATCAAGTTGACCTGACCCCAGAGGTGCAAGGACGGTTCACCATATGTAAATGAATAAATGTAATTCACCACATAAGCACACACAAGGACAGGTACAAAAAGGGCCTTTGACAAAATCCAATGCCATTCCTGAAAAATGTCCTGGAGAATCTAGGGATATGGTGGGATCTACCTTAACATTCAAAAGGCAATATACAGCAGGTCCTTAGCCACCAACATGCTAAGTGGAGAAAAACTTGAAGCATTTCCATCCACTCTCTTCATTCCTCTTCAACTTAGTATTTGAAGTGTCAGCTAGAACAATACAATGAGAGGAAGAGACAAAGGGCTTAAAAATGGGAGAGAAAGAAGTCGAAGCATCCTTATTTGTAGATGATGTAATTCCACACATAAAGACCTAAGGAATTCCACTAGAGGTCCCATTTATTAATTGTTTTCAGTGTCTGTGCTGCTGATGTTATATTTAGGAAGTGATCTTCTGTGCCAGTGTGTTCAAGACTACTTCCTACTTTCTCTTCTATCAAGTTTAGTGTAACTGGATTTATGTTGAGGTCTTTGATCCACTTGGACTTGAGTTTTGTGCATGGTGACAGATATGGATCTATTTGTAATCTTTTACATGTTGACATCCAGTTATGCCAGCACCATTTATTGAAGATACTTTCTTTTTTCCATTGTACAGTTTTGGTTTCTTTGTCAAAAATCAGGTGTTTATATGTGTGTGGATTAACGTCAGGGTCTTCAATTCAATTCCATTGGTCTTTATGTCAGTTTTTATGCCAGGACAAAGCTGTTTTTATTACTATAGCTCTGTAGTAGAGCTTGAGGTCAGGGATGGTGATGCCTCCAGAGGTTGCTTTATTATACAGGATTCTTTTAGCTATCCTGGATCTTTTGTTTTTCCATATGAAGTTGAGTGTTTTTCTTTCCAAGTCTGTGAAAAATTGTGTTGGGATTTTGATGGGGATTGCATTGAATCTGTAGATTGCTTTTGGTAAGATTGCCATTTTTACTATGTTAATCATACTTATTCATGAGCATGGGAGATCGTTCCATTTTCTGGTATCTTCTTCAATTTCTTTCTTTAGAGACTTAAAATTCTTATCAAACAGGTCCTTCACTTGTTTAGTTAGTGTTATTCCAAGGCATTTTACATTATTTGTGGCTATTGTAAAGGGTGATGTTTCTCTGACTTTTTTCTCAGCCCTTTTATCATTTGTGTATAGGAGGGCTACTGATTTTTTTGAGTTGCTCTTGTATCCTGCCACTTTACTGAAGGAGTTTATCAGCTATGGGAGTTCCCTGGTAGAATTTTTGGGGTCACTTATGTATACTACCATATCATCTGCAAATAGTGAAAGTTTGACTTCTTCCTTTCCAATTTGTATCTCCTTGATCTCTGTTTGTTGTTTTATTGCTCTAGCTAGAACTTCAAGTACTATATTGAGTAAATATGGAGAGAGTGGACAGCCTTTTGTAGGGCAAAAGACATGGTCAATGATACAAAAAGACAGCCTACAGAATGGGAAAAGACCTTCACCAACCCTACATCTGACAGAGGACTGATCTCCAAACTATATAAAGAACTCAAGAAACTAGACATCAAAATACTGAACAATCAAATTAAAAAACTGGCTAAAGAGCTAAACAGAGGATTCTCAAAAGAAGAATCTCAAATGGCTGAAAGACATTTAAAGAAATGCTCAACCACTGTGGAAATCAGTATGGCAGTTTCTCAGAAAATTGGAAATCGATCTACCTCAAGACCCAGCTATACTACTCTTGGGCTTATACCCAAGGAATGCTCAATCATACCACAAAGATACATGCTCATCTATGTTCATAGTAGCACTATTTGTAATAGCCAGAACCTGGAAACAACCTAGATGGCCGTCAACTGAAGAATGGATTAAGAAAATGTGGTACATATACACAATGGAGTACTACTCAGCAGAGAAAAACAATGACATCATGAAATTTGCAGGCAAATGGATTGAACTAGAAAAAAATCATCCTGAGTGAGGTAACCCAAACCCAGAAGGACAAACATGGCATGTACTCACTTATAAGTGGATACTAGATATAAAGCAAAAAACAATCAGACTGTAACCCACAGAACCAGGGAGTCTATATAGCAGGGGGGACCCTAGAATGACTGTGGCTTATAATAAGTTTTGGTTTTACTCAATTACTGGGCAAGCCTCAATGAAACATTTCACTGTTAGGATAAGAATTTGTACTGTATCAAGCTGATAATAGAAATAAAAAATAAATCAGTCGATGTTAAAGATGAAAAAAACAAGAATTCCACTAGAAAACTCCTATAGCTGATGAACACATTCAGAAGGATACAAAATTAATACACAAAATCAGTAGAATTCTTTAATATCAACAATAAACATCCAATAAAGAAACCAGGAAAACAATTCCATTCAGATAGTCTCAAAAAACTTTGCAATAAATCTAATCAAGGTAGTGAAGACTTGTTACAGTGAAAACTTTAAGACACAGAAGTAAGAAATTGAAGATAACAGAAAATGGAAAGACCTCTCATGTTCACATGTTAATAGGATTAATATTGTAGGATGGCATCCTACCAAAAGCAATCCATAGGTTTAAAGCTTCCCATCAAAATTCCAATGCAGATTCTCATAGAAATTGAAAAGAGAATCTCAAAATTCATATGGAAGCACAAAAGAGCCAGAATAGCCAAGAAAATCCTGAACAATGGAACACTGCTGGAGGAAGCAGCATTCCTGATTCCAAGCTGTATTATGGGCCATAGTAATAAAAACAGCATGTTAATGTCAGAAAAGCAGGCACATTGGTTAGTGGAATAAAAGTGGAGATGCAGATATAAGCCCACACTCCTACAGCCATCTGAGTTTTGACAAAGGGGCAATAAATAAATAAATGCACACTAGCAGTGCTTTTCAATCTGTGGGTTGTAGCCCCTTTGGGGGTCGCATATCAGATATCCTGCACATCAAATATTCACATTACAATTCATAATAGTAGCAAACATAAGCTATGAAGTAGCAAGGAAATAATTTTATAGTTAGGAGTCACCACAACATCAGGAGCTGTATTAAAGGGTCCCCGTAGCAAGGTTGAGAACCACTGCAAAGGGGCATCTTCACTAAATGGTGCTGGTCAAACTGTGGAGCTACATGTAAAAGAATGAAACTAGATCCGTGTCTTTCACCCTGCATAAAACTTAACTCCAAGTGGATCAAGGACTTCAACATAAGACATGATACCCTAAATCTGATGGAAGAAAAAGAAGGGAATATGTTTAAATGTACAGCCCCAGTAAAGGGCGTTCTGGATAGGGTCCCAATATCACAGGCTTTCAGATAAAATGGGGCCTCATGAAACTAAAATCTTCTGTACAGCAAATGACATAATCATTCAAGTGAAGATGTAGACTCCAGAAGGGGAAAAATCTTCACCAGCTTTTATCTCACAGAGTGTTTGTGTGTAGAATATACAACACACACAGACACAGACACACACACACAGACACACACACACACACACACAAT